CTCTCCTGTGACCCCTCCCCTCCACTGGCCGCCAAGGAGAGGTGCTGCAGCCTGGATGTAGGTAAGGTTGGGGAGTCTGTGGGTGATGGCTGGCTTGGGGGGATTGGGGGACTGTAGCTGGGTGGTATTCAGCATTGCTGTATAATGATTATACAGCAATGCTGAATACCACCAGCTGAGGGCCAGCGGGCGTCACCCCCCCCTAAATGAGGCCCCCGGCCGCAGGTGCAATGGTTCCCTCCCTCCGCCACCTCTCTGCCACATGCACCGCTGCAGATGCGGCTCTCTAATTGTGCGGCCGCTCACTCCTCAAGGGGTACTCGGGAGGCCCCAGCGTGCAGAACCCCTAACATACCTGATTAGAGGGCCGCATATGCCTGCTCCAGCCAGCCCGGATCACCTCGGTATACCCTTGAGAAGCGAGCGGCTGCGCGATTAGAGAGCTGCATCGGTAGCGGTGCAGGTGGCAGAGAGGCGGTGGAAGGAGCCACTGCACCTGCGGCCGGGGGCTTCATTTAGCGCAGGGGGTTCAGTGACGGGATCTACTGCGGGCAAACTGGCTGGGGCGGCCACAGGAGAGCCCTCACTACCAACCAGAGCCCCCACTGACCACCAGGGTAAGGTGACCAGTTTTTTAAAATCCAGGAACATTTTTAAGGGCTCATTCACACTGGAATTGGCCGGCACATACAGCTCCGTGCTGCGTGCACGGCCGTATCGGGCAGCTCCTAGGAAGGACAGGTGCTGCATGTGATTAGTACACAGCACCCATTCTTCTCTATGAGACTACGCGGCCGTACGCCGCCCCGCTCACACCCGTCCTGTACATCGGTGCGGGTGAGCGTACCCGTATGCTGACAGGATGGATCCTGTCTGCATCCGAGCAAGGAAATTTTCTTCTCAGAAGCTGCACACTGCGCGTGCTGGTTTAAGTAGTAACCAGCACACGCTGTATGCAGCTTCTAACAGCGTGGGAGACAGGAGGCTGGGCTTGTCTGGATCCAGGGATCTACTTAATTTTCTGGCAGTGCCCCTCCCGAGAATAGACTCTGGATCCGCCCCTGCTCCAAAGTACACCTCGGGACTCAAACTGCACTCTGCATTTTATGAATAGAATGTTAAATGGAGGTGCTGTGTGGAGTAATCACTGACATTTTCTATGGAAAGCAAATGCTGCAAGTAAATCAGATCTTCAGTGAGATACAATTATTTATGTGTATACTGTATAAGACATTCAATCGTTAGATTAATTTAATGAGAGAAAAATAACAATAACACCCCTGATTAATATTTAGGTTTTTGAAATAACCATTTTAGGAGAAAATGTTTGTTCACAGTGAAGTTCCA